GCAGTGTGGACACCTCTTCTGTGCCCTCTACTGGTCCTCCCCACCCAGGTGTGGGTCTGTGGGGACAGGAAACTGGTCTCCTCCTCCTCTAAGCCACAAAGGGCCCATTGGGGAAATAAGGTACCCTTCTGGAGGGTAAGGTGCTGCCTCAGCATGGAAGCAGGGGAAGCTGCAACCTTGGGGTGTGGCAGTAGCCCTCTTTGGGGTGCCTGATCCTGCTGTGAAGCCTCTGGTTCCAGGATTGGTGAGGGACAGCGGAGGACAGAGGGGGCTGGGCCTGGCTGGGGAAGGCTAGCCTGGAAGGCGCTCAGCCTTCGGCCCTGGGCCAGTGTGGAAAGTATGTGTGTGAGCTCATTTGGAAGGTGGCTTCTGGCCAGTCAGGCCTGCCTCCTCTCCAGGCCCCAATTGCCCAGCCCCCTTGAAGACTGCCACTGGGTCTCCCCAGTCTTCCAAGACTGCCTGAGGGACGAAGGCTGAAACCCCTAGGTTAAGTGTGTAGCCCCTGGTCTCCTAAAGAAAGTGAATTCAGATTTGGGAGGTGGGTGAGAAGGGAGTACAGGGACATCAGGACAATGGATTAGCCTTGACTGGGGTTTCCTTGGAGCCTCAGGGAATGGGAACTGTCCTCCTAGGCCCTTGCACAGCCATTCCCCGCCCCCCCATCCCTCCCCTAGCTGCGACCACTGGTGCCACTCAGTCCTTCTGGATTCTGAGTCCTTCCTGCTTCTTCCTTCTTTCCCTCAGAGGAGGACCTGTTCCTGTCCCCCAAAAAGGAGGTGACTGCAGGCAAAGTGGGTTTCTGAGGAAGAGCCCTTCTCCTGCTGCATTTCTATGCCCCATGCTGTTGCTGCCGCATGGAGTAAGAAGCAAGTACTCGTGGGCTGTCAGATCCCCAGAACACACACCACCACACACCCCCAGCCAGGCAGGGGCCACATTGGAAAAGACACCCAAAGACAAGGCAGAAGCTACCTGCACAGGGAAAAAAAAAATTAGACAGACCTGGGTTTTCATTTTGGATTAAGGAGCTACAACCTTAAAGAAGTCTTATTTGGGCCTCAGTTTCTAAACCTGTAAAACAGGGGCAGTGATCGTGCCTGTGTCATTGGGTGTCATGAGGAACTGGGCCAATGTTGGTTTTTTTTTACCACCTCCCTTTGGCTGGAAAGGGAAGTGGGAGTACGGAGGGGAAAGAGGACTAGGAAATCTGTCAATGTCCGGAGAAGGGGGCCCCAGGGGAGGGACAGTGGAGTTCCAGCAGGGCTGGCCAGGTTTTTGCGTGAGGGGTCACCCTGCTCAGTCCTCCCTTCTCTAGAAGGCCCGGCTCGTTCTTTGATCCTCACTTCTCATGTCGCTGACCCAGCACCTGGCTGGCAGCCTTGGAGGTGTGGGCCCAGCTGGTGGCAGGATCCCTGAGGAAGGGCTCAGATGTGTGGGGTGCCATGGGGGGCAGAGCACTGCCTCTGCTCAGCGCTTGCCCCTGCTGCAGGCTCCTTTGAGGCCGTGTCCCTGGGTTCTGCCCAAACCTCCTCGCAGATTCCCCTTGGCTCTCCCTGGCTGCTCTAGCTCCATGTGCTGCTTTCGAATACAGGAACTTGGAACCTTAAAAACTGGGTCAGGCCCAATGGACAGAGCGGGGTAGGGCCAGTAAAAGCAGCATTTTCAGGTCTCTCGGGAGCCACAGGGACCTCTGTTCTCCCCTCACCCCGCCTGACCCTGTGCGATCAGCAAGGCACCTCCCAGTGTCTCTGGGTGGCCTCCCTAGGCTGGACCCCTGAGGCCCAGGGCATGTCAGAAGCACGGGACCTTGCGGGTCTCCACCCCACAGTTCTCCCTGCTCGGGAAGCCTTTTCCGCCTCTTTCCCCCTTTGTCTCTGGTCCTCCATTCCCATTTCTCCCCCTTGGCTTCAGAGAGCATCTTGTGATTCCCGAATCAGGGCCAAACAATTTCCTCGTGATGGGGAAACCGCACTCCAGCCGTGGCAGCCCTAGGCTCCCCCTCCTCTTCCCTCTGGCAGTCCCCCCTCCCCAGGCTCCTCCACTGGCTCCAGCTGTGTTTTGCAGAACTCCCACTGGATAACATCTGTAATTGCCTCCAGATGTGGGCCACAAAAACACAAAGGGGCCATGAGCTCATCTTTGAGCTCCTTGCATCACGCACAGCCCCCCGCCTCCCCTCCCCCCAGACAACCCCTGACTTTCCCATGCCAGCTTCCCTGGGTCCCCCTCCCCTCTGGTGAGGGTGGCAGGGAGGTGTCCACATCCACTGAGATACATAGGCTGTGCCAAACAGCTGTTGGCGGGAGAGGTGGAGGAGGCCAGGCGCAGGGTCAGGGTTCCTGGCTGGCAGAGAGGTGGGGTACCCCTTCTGCCAAAGCAATCACACTGGCCAGCCCTGAAGAGCAGCTGGAGAGAACCGCTGGCCTAGGTGGGGCCAGCGCTTGTGGAGGAAGGCTGTGGAGGGGGCCTGGGCTCGAGCCCAGGGAGGGCTGGGCTAAGGCAGGAAGGGAAGGGGAGGAAGAAAGAGGGCTGCTCCCCTTCAGCTGAGCTGACTCAGCAGCTGAGCTATTCCTCCCTCCAGGCTGGTTTCGGAGGAAGGGTGGGTCAACAGCCTGGGAACCCTGTCTGGGGCAGCAGTTTCTAAGAAACAAAGCCTTGTTATTCTCCCCTTCCGCCCTGACCATCCTGCCTCTCCTGGGCAGTCCGGTGAGATTCCTGTTTTGCCAGAGAGAGGCTGCTCCTCACTGGCCATGGGACAACTGTTTGGCCTTCCTGGGTGTTCCTTCTGCCCCTACGGCAGAGCCCCCTAGGCCTAGAAGAGGCTTAGATGCACGCAGGGCTGGGTTAAAGGGCTCAAAGACATCCAGGGAGTCCCCAGCAGCAGAAAGAGAGGTCTGAGGAAACAGAGGGTCTGCGGCCAGATCACAGGACAGGGTAATGCAATTTAGGAAGATTTTCCATGTGGCCTCAGCTTGACCACTTCCTCTTGCTCTGGGCCTCCAAGGTAACCTCTTGGCTGGGTTGAAGAGAGCGCCTGGGCTCTGGGGACCACTTCCCTGCCTCCACGGAGTGTGTATGCCTTCCTTCCCAGCTATGGCCCTGAACCCTCACTGTCCACCAGGGATAAACATATTCCTTTATGAAAAATACCGAAACCCCAGGTCACAGAAAACACAGGTTATGGGCATGCTTTTCATTCACCTCTCTGAGAGAAGGCAGCCACACAAAGAATGTGAAACACCATTTATTCTTTGTGGAAAGGTTGAACAAGGTCAAAAATGTCCTTAGAGGGCACTGACCCAGCCCCGCCCTGCAGGTTCCTGGGGTCTGATGCCTCTGCACCCCCCACCCCCACCCTTCCCCTGCCCCTTGTTAACAAAAAGGAACGATTTGAAGGGAATTCATATATAATAATTATAATAAAAATATACATTAAACGAAACAAAAAAAAACCCAAACAAGACAAATTTAGCCGAACTGCCAGCACCGTTCATCCCACACACCCCCACCCCCCCCGGAACTCCCCCACCCCTAACATCCCTCTCCTCTCCCCGTCCCCACAGGGTCTCACTCTCTCAAGTCCCAGGTACCATGACCACCTGTGGTGGCCAGAGGAGACTTCGAATGGGCGGGCTGGGTGGGGGAGAGGAGGCAGGACATGGGTAGGAAGGGACGAGGGATGGGGGTATCAGGCAGTGAGGGGCTAACCTGACAAGACCCACCCAGGCACCTGCCCCCTCACTGAAGCCAGCTGAGGCTGCTGAGTGCTGTCAGCCCCTGGTCACCTCCCAAACTAGGTGGCCACCCTCATGAAGGTCCCGAGTCACCAGTCCCTGGATGTGTGTCATCTCTGCTCCTTTCTCTGGGCTCCCTACCCTTCCCATACTTGTATGCTGGCTGGAGGAAGGGCACCAAAGTGGAGTAGGTGTGCCCTTCTCCAGCCCTTCCTCAGACCTCCAATAAAACATGGCCTCCCCTGGGGACCACTGCCCACCTGGTGGAGTCCCTGCTGGCCTGGCCCACCTGGCCCCCTTCCCCCCATCCCCTGGCCCTCCACTCCCACTGCACCTCCCTGGTTAGCCTTTTGGTCCTGTCCTATCCCCCTGACTGCTCTGCCCCTTGGTCCCTATCCCAGCTGCCTGCATTTGAGTGAGATTCTTCTGTCACCTTCAGGCTCACCCCAGGGGTCCAGACAGTCCCTCTCCTTGGCCCCAGCCATCCTACCCTGAGAGCTGCAGCCTGTGCTCTCCACTCCTCTAACCCAGACATCCCCAGTCAAGGCTGACATTTGTGGGGGTAAGGCATTTGTGGGGGTAGGGCCGTCAAGGGTTTTTACAGCCCCTTAATGGCTCAGGCTCCTGGGGACGTCCTTGGGGCCAGGTGGGGCAGAGGCAGATCTTTGCAGAGGGGACTGACTCTGAGCTTCCCTCCCAAGGTCTTAGGGTGGCTGTGTGGCCTTCCCCCCCACCACTCCTACTCTCTTAGGGTCTCCCCTCTCAACAAGATTAGATTCCTTTAAGCCAGAAAGAGTGGTAGGAGGTTGCCACGGGGGTGCACCGGGTGGGGGGGGGCTTGTGGGGCTGGAGTGCCCAGAGCCTCCTGAGGTCAGAGTTCAGAGGTTAAAGTTATATCAGGGAATGGAAAAGGAGCAGATGACCCCATTTGACCTTTGCCAGCGAGGTCTGAGGGTCCTGCCTTCAAGTGCAGAGCCAAGACATTCAGATGGGGCTGGGCACACACCAAGCTACAGAGACCCCTGGGGGGGAGCAGGGGCTGAAAGGGGCAGCCCCTGTTCAGCCCCCAGGGGACTCCATCTAGGGAAGAAGCAATGCCAGGGTTGAGGTGGAGAGAGGCAGTCAGGGGATAGAAAACAAGGGAAGTGGGGGGCAGGGTAGGGAGAGGGCCTGGGACAGGTGGAGCAGCCCACCCACCACCACCTGCTGCCACTGGCCTTCAGAGGCAAAGTCCTCGTGGTAGGAGTGGGTGGGCGGCCGTGGGGGTCAGACCTTGTCCAGCAGGGAACGCTGGCAATAGAGCAGTCGTTTCGGGGTCCCGTGGCGTCTGAAGAAGAAGACGGCGAGGCCCACTGCCAGCACCAGGAGCAGCAGCAGCACAGGCAGCACCACGGCGGCCGCACTCACCGCCCCGCTGCCCTCTTCGTCCACCTCGATGATGATCACCTCTGTCTCCTCCTCCGTTCCCTCGTCCGGCCGGCCCCCTGACGCGGAGCAGCCCATCCAGTCCCGCAGGGCTGACTTGGGGTAGCCTGGCTCTACTTTCAGCTTCTGGTTGTTGAATTTCCAGTATTTGTTCCCCTTGTAGAAGTACGTGAAGACTGCAGTGGTCAGCAAAAAGGTGGCAGGGAAGACCCACAGGGAGAAGAGCGGGAGGGAAATCTGTGAGCCACGCGAGCTGGCTGAGTTAATCCCTTACCCTCTGTGAACACAAGTCACCTTAGCTGTAAACTGGGGTAGTTCTAGTACCAGGCTAGTAGGGCGCTGGGGATCAGGGATCCGACGTGCAGAGAGCACTTTGCTCAGAGCCTGGCATGTGGCAAGGCTTCCAGCCCCCTTGTCATCACTGCTTTCCCCACCATACTGTCCTGTCCGGTTTTCCTCTCGTTCTCCCTTAATCCGCTGTCCCCATCCTCCCCTGATGGACACCTCCCTTGCCCCTCACCTTCATCGCTGCCCATGAATGACCCTCTGGGAGACTCGGGGATTCCTTCCCAGACCTTGATGTTTTTGGGGTACTCGCTGTCCACTGCCCTGAGCTCCTCGTTGAAACGGTAGTACCTGGGAGACAGGAGGGGAAGGGATGCAGTAGGGCACTGGGCCTGTCCTCAGAGGGCAGCGGGGCCCAGACTGAACCCACCAGAAAGCAAAGGGTGCCGACGGACGGGGTGCGGGACCAGGGTTTGGAGTAATGAGGGCCTGTGGCTGAAAGTGGCGGAAGGTGGGGGTGGATGGGAGGTCCCAGGCTGCAAGGAGCCACCGGTAGCCTTTAATGACAGTGCCCGGCTGCTGGGGTGGAGGCACCGTGCTGGGGGAAGGAGGCACCAAATGACCGGGTCTGAAATGGTGACCCGGTCACTTCCCACTCACTCAGCACCTAATGGAGGCCGTCTGTTGCTAGGCAATGGCAGAGGCTCAGCCAGCAACTAACTTCTCCAGGGTAACATCCCAGGGAGAGGTGGGTCTTTCTCCCGAACTGAGGGAATCGGTGGTGGCATCTGAGGAGGGAGGCCTGGGGTCAAGGGGCTGAGGTCTCACTTGTTTCCCCGGAAGAAGTAGGTCTTTCCATTGGGCATCCAGAAGAGAGCGGCGTCAATTTTGTCAGTAGGCAGTCCTCGGCCCAGCTCCTTGATATGCTTGGGGTAGCCAGGTTCCAGGGAAGCTTCGTCAAACACCCAGTGCTTGTCTCCTGGTGGGGAGAGGGAAGGGCAGGATCAGGGTTCCCCTCGGGCTCGTGTGTCTTTGGAGGAGTCAAGCGGAATCCAGTCCTCCAGGGAGACTCTCCGCACACCTGGAGAACTAGGGCAGAATGCCCGGTTACCTTTGAAGAAGACAAACTTGCCATCCTTCCTCTCATAGGCAGTGTTGATGGATGCGGGCAGGCCCCGCCAGAACTGGCCGATGGGCATGGGGTATCCATCCATCACTTGGTTATTCCTCACCCTCCAGAACCAGCGCTCCTAAAAGGTGTCGAGGTGGGGACGGTACGTTTTGTCTTCCAGGGAGTCCTCTGGCTTGGTCCCCAAAGCTTCCCATTGTCTCAGTTCTAGTTCTTAGTCCTCCTACTGCTGTTTCCACCCAGCCTGCTGGGCTTGGAGCCCTCCCGTCCCCCATACTGGCCCACTTCTTCCTCTTACCTTGAAGACAAACATCTCGCCTCGGAGCACAGCCACAGTGTCGAAGTTACCATCACAGATGTTGGGCCCATAGGTGGGGTTTTTGGGCTTATCGGGGACAGAGGGCCTGGAGGTCGTCCTGGGTTGCGGCGGCATCTTGGTGGGGGACCCTGACTGACTCCCTGGTATAGAGAGCATGAGAGTCACTTCAGACTTTGTGGCAGAGGGGGCAGAAAGAACAGGTATATGGGCAGACAATCCCCTTGGAAAGGTGTGGATGGCCCTGCGGGGGAGGCTGAAGCAATCAGGTGGGAAAGGACAGAAAAGGTGGAATCAAAAGTGGGAGAAGAATTAAACATGGAGGAGAGATAATGTAAAAAAAAGAAAGTGAGAGTAGGTGGTGGGTGGAGGCAGGGTCAAGTGGGGTTGGGGGTAGATCGTAGGGCATGGGGGAAAGGAAGGGATGCAGAGGTCAGAGAGGAAGAGCAGAGGAGGAGCAGAGAGATGTGGGCATAGATTACTCACCGTAAAGTTGCTGGATGCCCCGGCGGTCGTCATCGGGCAGCACAAAGTTCTCTGTGTCCATCCACTGGTAAAAGGGCGCCATGATGGCTGAAGGATCATTGGAGTGCTCAAGGCCCAGGGCATGGCCCAGCTCGTGCACAGCCACCAGAAAGATGTCATTCCCTGGAGGGATAGCAATGATTATGAGGGTAGCCTGGGTCCCTTACCTCAGAAGCCCTGCTTTCCCACCAGAGGCTTGGTTTTCACACCTGAGCCTGCCTGTCACGTTTTCCACCCAAAAAGCCACGAAGCCAGTCAGCAATCTATTCTGGGCAGAGATGAGAGGGTGCTCTGGGGACAGATCCCAATCCCAGGGAGACATGTATTAAGGGAAGCTGAGGTCCCGTCTGGGCCCCAGGTTCTGCCAGGAGCTAGAGGTGACATTTGCTTGGAAAGTGGGAAGTCTTTGACTGGGAAGTCAGTTATTGGGTGAGAAAGGGACCAGATGTAAATGGAGCAAAATAAGAATTCTGCTTTCACTGGAAGTCAGATTAGGAGATCTCTCTGTAGTCCAGAGACTTGGGGGTTTGAGGTTTTGGGAGGAGGCAGAATAAACACTCCCCCAAATGATCGTTGACTCTCCCCAGAATAAATGAGTCCCAGGGCTACTTTGCTCACCATTCAGATCCTCATTCCTGACAGTCCAGGGCTCGGCAGAGTCAAAGTGGGTGTCCCCTCCGATGTTGGGGCCCGGGAAATAGGCATGGGCCAGGAAGCCACCCTCGCCATCGAAAGGTGTGCTGTCACCATGGAAACCCTCAGCGAAGAAGATCATGATGTCTGCTTGCTTCTCATGGCCCTCGCGGATATAGGCATAGGGCACCTCTCGGAATCGAAGTGGTGTGGCGCTCTCCCACACGCGGAATGCCTTGCGAATGGCCTCGAATGTGGCATACTCACCTACCTTGGGCGTGTAATTCTGGATGCTGAGGTCCAGCCACGTGGAGGGGAGGAGGGGAGCGTGTTAGCATCACAACGAATACAATTCTCCTTCCCTGTACTTGCCCAGGTCTGACTGAACCGCCCAGCTACCTCTGCTGCCCCGGCTCTTCCTGCTGCCTCGTGATGCCTCTGCACCAAGAACTGAGGGCTCAAGACCCCCCGCAGGCTTCAGCTTCCTGGCCCTGGGGCGCACCCCCCACAGGCTGCACCTTCCTCCAGGATTACAGCCACGTTTCTCCCCACTCCTAGGGATGCTTCCCAGGGACAGGTGAGTAGGATAGGAGGCCTCTGAGTCTATGAGCACAACTGATAGGGAGGGAGACCCTGATGTTTTGAGGAAGGCAACTTGCCTGTTGGACTCACCAGAAAGTGATCTCATTATGCTGCCATTTGAGGCCCTGGATAGCATAGCGCTTCCTTCGAACATTGGCCTTGATCTCGGCCCCAAACTTATCTGGAACGCCACAGCGGGGACGCCTCATGGCCCTGGGGTTTGAGAATTGTGGCCATTAAAGAGAAAGGTCTTCTGAGGAGAGGGGGAGTGCCTGGCTTAGGGTCAGTGTGGAGAAGGGGAGAGGGCAGGAGTCGAGCGTATAGGTAGCAAGGTCTCTGTGCTCAGTGTTGTCACTGGGAGGTGGGTGCCATGCAGGATTCCCACCAGGGTCTGGCACTTACTTCATGGTGTCCGCATCAGCCTTGCCCGTCACGCGCAGACCGTAGAACCTCTGCATGGCAGCGATGGCAGCTGAGAAGGACTGGGGTGAGCGGTGTGTGTGCGTGCGCAGGTCCCCGGGGGGCAGGTAGCCATACTGTTGCAGCCAGGCCTGCAGGGAGAAGAGTGTGGCTTAGAGCATCTCCACTTGGCCCAAGGGGAGCCTCTGCCTCCCCCTGCTATCTGGCATGCACCCTTGGCTTAGGAGAAAAGGGCAACGAGCTCCCAGCCTGGCTCTGGCAGTGGGGCTGGAGGAGTTCCCAGGCTGGACCTGCACTCTGGCCCAGGCCCCAGTATGACTTGTCCTCTCGGGGCTGTGGGCTCAAACAGGGGTGGGGAGCCATGGCTCCGGACTTTGGCTGTAACTCTTGAGGATGGGAGCCCAGATGGCTTAACTGAGTCCTAGGATAGCTTCTCAGAGCTGATTCCTTCCAGCACTTTTCTTCTCTGTGTCAGTATTCTTGTAAATACAGCACGTCCTACCTGTGAGTGGATTGTGCCCATGGTGGATGGAGGCAGGGAGGCTGAGGGGGGCTCTCTTTTGGGTCCTGTATGAGACCCTCTTGGGACAGGAATGCCATGCCTCTAGGACCCTCACAGCGGACATCTTTTTAGAAAGGAGGAAGCAGAGCAGGAGCTAGGGCTGAGGCTGGCTGCTAAGATAGGATGCTGGGACCTTTGGAGGTGGTGGGGCTGGGACCCAGCCACAGAGCTGGGATCCTGCCACTGTCCCCATCCAAGCATCTGACCTAGGGCTTGGGACTCAAAGACCCATTTGAGGTTCTCAGGAGAGGGAGTGGGAGATGGGGGTCATGGTAGAGACTCGGTGGCAGCATTGTACTTGAGGTATATTGTGAATTGTTCATAAGATAAAGGTTGGCGTATTGCCTTAACATAAAGTTAGGTTTTCGGTGTTCGATTGAAAGGCACACAAAATACAAAGCCCTGTTGGGGAAAAAAATCCAGCCTTTATTGTAAGAACAATGGAGAATTTTCCTAAAGCCTGAAAAGTAAAGCGAGCCAAGTTATATATGGGATATGAAAACGCTTGGATTCTCTGATGGAGATACTACGTTGGTCCCTGCTCCAGCTTTGCCTTCCTTAGGAGTTCGGAGGGTGCCTGCAGGTTGCTTAGGATGGAAGTCTGGAGTGCAGAGCGGGTAGAGGCTGCTGCTGGGTGCCACAGCCCCCATCCCAGGTTGTCACAATGGATCTTCCTGACGCCCTTCGCCTCTAGGCCCAGGCCCTGCTGGCGGAGCAGTGCTCCTGCATTGGGGCTGGGGGTGATTCAGGAGCAGCTGACTGGGGACATGTGCCTGTGGGGCAAGAATTGCAACAGGGTTCTGGGAAGTGATCCCCTAAGGCTGATGGGAGTTAGGGCCCAAGATGTAAACAACCTAGCTTTTCCCCAGCCAACAGGCCTGGTCAGAGCAACCTTAGCACCACCCGCCTCTGAGAGCCCCTCCTCAGGGGTAGAGGAGGGAGCCAAGTTTAACCTCTGGGAGACCACAGGGGAGGAGAGCAGGGTGCTACAGAACCTGGTTGATCTCCCCAGGAGCTGTGGTCGTGCCCTGACCTGTGCTGGCTGATGCCACAGCTAGTGCCCACGGGAGGCCTGCTGTGGCCTGTGCCCAAGTATGCGGGAAATTCCCTTTGCCCTTCGCCTCACCTGTGGTGTACACACACACACCCCAGGCTTCTGACCCCTGGTGAGGAGGGAGCGGCTGCTTCAGCTTTGGAGAAGGATGGGAGTGGCCTGCTCCTGGAGCTGGAAGTCAGGAGGACTTAAGTCAGGCCTCCTCAAGCCTCAGGGAAGAAAACTGAGGGGAATTCTCTTAGGGCTGAATAACAGAATGGAGGGTGGCAGAGAGGCGAGGAGAATCCACATCCAGGAGCTCTGGGATAAATCCCTCTTGAGAAAGTAGGCAGGTCTAAATATTCCCACCCACAAAGTCCACCCCATACACGATAGAGAAAAATGGAGACTTAGGCAAGAAAGGGACTTCCCTGCATTCAAGAGAGCCTCGAGGCCTGGAAAGGAAGTGCCCCCATCCCTCTCCTCCCAGGCCTAGGCTCTGAGCAAAGCAAGAACCACAGAGAAGACTAAGAGGTGAGGTAGGAACCACAGAAGAGAGGACTCTTGTGTCTGCGGCTGGGTGGGGGAAGGGCCAAGTGCCAGAAGGGACTACGGGGAGGAGAGGGATGTCCTGGAGCTGGTGTAGGACTCTGGAGGCCTGTTGGGAGGAACCCGGCTGCCTGAGGCCTGGCAACCCCAGCTCGCCCTCTAGACTGGCCTGGAGAGGGAGCAACTATGTTAGGTCCAAAAACTCAGTTGGCTGGCTTTGTCTTGAAAACTGAGTGGTCTGGAGGTATTCCCCGAGACGGGGGAGGTCCAGAGAACCCCTCCCACCTCTGGCCTAGAAGTCCTGGAGAAGCTGGATGGGTTGGGGGAAATGCTGGCAAACTCCAGCAGGTCCTGGATGAGAGCCTCTGAGCTTGCTCCTCCCTCCCTCTGCCTCCCACCCCTCCGTGGCCCAGAAGCAAATGGTGGTTCTGGCACTGGGACTGCCCATGACCCACTTAGAACAGAGCCAGGGCTGCTGCCCCTCCCCTAGGGGGCCTTGTGGGGCAGGGGAGGGAGGGCAGGGCAGGCAAGGTTGGCAGTGGGCAGCCCCCTGATGCCCAGGCTTCTTTTGTTAGGAGCTTTCCTTGCAGGCCTGCGATGAAGACTCCAGGCCAGGGGTGAGGATGACTCTTCCTGCAGGGCCCTGTCAGGCTTAGCCCCAGGTCAGAGCTGTACTCTCCCTGGTCACCCCCACTCCTAGGGCCACACTTCACTTTTTAGCCTCAGATCCCTTCGGGACAGAGAGAGTGTGTTCTTTCTGGAGATGTTTCCTCCGGGGGTGGGTCTGGGGCCAGGACGGAGAAGGAGGAAGCCAAGTCCAGATCCCCTCCCCCTTCTGCGGCCCTTCCCGGCCCCTCCCGACCGCACCCAGGCCCTGCCGGGCTGAGTGGGTTGAGATGGCCCAAAATAAGAAGCTGATCAAATTCGTCTCCCACCTTCACCCCAAAATAAGAGAGAGAGAGCAAGAAAGAGGAAAAACCTCCCTAGACAACTCCCACGCGGCTTCCTCCCAGGCGGGTGGGCCAGCGTTGGGGAATGGGTTGGGGGGGGCGCCTGAGACGTGTGCGGGTGCCCTGGGCCCGGCCCTCTCCCCACTCCCCAGTGCGATGCCTTCAGTCTTCCTGCACGGAAAAGCAATTAACAAAATTAACAAAAAAGCAATTAACAAAGGCAACTAGAAGAGCCTAAAGGCGCCACTGGTGGGGGGTGGGGTGGGAGGTTTGGGGTGGTGAGGGGGGCAGAGGGAGGAGGCGGCCTCCCTGCCGAACCCCCGGCTCACAAGGAAAGCTTTGTCTGTACGGAAATGCGGCCGGGGCGCCAGCCCTGCGCGACCTTCGACGCCAGGGCTCCGGGCCGCGACACAGAGGGGTCCGCACGGGGAGGCGGAGTGGGGCGGGGGACGGGACCGCTCGGTGGGTCTAGCCCCGACCCCACCTGGTGGCGGCTGCACCCGCGGAGGGCCGGGACCGCCCGGGAGGCGCGCAGCGTTGGGGGGCCCGGAGCCGCGGCGCGGTCCACCGAGCCTCCCCGGCCGGCGGGTGCGGGCGGGAGAGCGCTGGAGGGCTGGAAAGTTGAAGAAACAACGGACTGGCGCATAGGACAAGAAAGCAGGGCAGCGCAAGGACTGAGCGGAGTCAAAGTATTTACCAGGCTCCCTCCTGGTTCTGCAGCTGAGCTCAGAGCCCCGGGGAACCGGGGACGGTGGGCCCCAGCTGTAAGGCTCTTCCCAGGAAAGAACTGGGAAAGAAAGTCGGTGGCGGCGGGTGGGGGTGGGGGGGCTGGTTGGGGAAGACAGAAGTTGGATCGACTTGGAAGTTTGGAGATGAGGAGGGAAAGCAAAAGGAGGGGGTTGCTGCTGCCCGGAGCGGCCGAACCCCCGAGCTTGCTGCTCTCCAAGGAGGAGCCTGTCCCTTTGGAGACCCCCGGCTCGCCTCCCCGGCGGGCGCGACTCCCGGTAGGGCCGGGGAAGCTCACTTACTTCGGGGCTGAAGCTGCTCTGGGCCGAGCTGAGGGAGGCGAACGCGGTGGCGAGCGTGAGCAGGGGGAGCAGCAGACTGCGGGTGGGCCGTGGGGCAGGAGACATGGTCCGTGACCGTCCCGGCAGCCAGCCGTGCAGGCTCCGCGGCGGGGGCCCCCAGCCCTGGGGTCGCGCCGCCACTCCCTTGGGGCGCCTTTGTCTTCGGTGGGCACTGAATTTGGATTCCTAGAGCGCTGTCCGCTTGGAGATGGGGGGATTGTTCTTGAAAGTGCCTGTTTGTTCGTCCCCTCTTTCCCGTTTTTTGATCTTTCTTCTGCTTAGTCTGCGAACTGCATCGCGAGTCCTCTCTCACTCCTCTGGTCCCTCCCTTCTCCCACAGCCTCTCCGCCCCCGCCCCAATGCCCTCCTTTCCCGGTGCGGACGTGGTTGTTTCAGCCTGAATCCAATTACAGCCAAGAGTCGGGTAAAAAAAAAAAAAAAAAAAAAAAAAGAAAGAAAAAGAAAAAGAAAAAAGCAACAACAACAACAAAAAAACCCACCCTAAGTTGCCTTTTTGTGGCGGAGGCTGCCATCTGCAGGGGTTGAGGCCACAGCTAAGGATGGGGGTCTGTGTGTGTGTGTAGGGGGGGACCTAGGGGACGGGATGTGGGAGACTTTCTCCCCCTAAGCATATTTTAGGTGGCTTGATTCCCCTGGTATTCAGCGTTTGTCTCACCTCAGAGTGGGAAGTACTGGGAGGCTTAGTGTCCCAGGCGGACAAGTTGAGAGTCTGGGATGCTGGTGGTAGTCTTCATGTCCACCACACCTGGGTTGGAGATTGTCTGCTGGGACCTGTGGCTCAACCAAACTGAAACATTTGCCCCTTATTCTTGACAACCACCTCCATCCCTATCCTGCCCCAAACATGCAATAGTAACAAAACCCAACTATCGACCGACCAACTCCACAGCCACACTGGTCCCGTCCTAAGACAAATGCCGTCCCTTAAACACCAACATTTGCAATCTGGCTACTCCTTATACTGGCTTGGGAGGAAGGAGGTGCAAGGCCATGGAATGTGGGGAAAGGCAAATCAAGTTCGGGGAAACTGTTAGACAAGAGAGACTGGGAGTTTGGACTTTGGGGTTTGGTTTTCCCCTCTACAGTGAAAAAAGACAATTCCCTTGAGGAGTAAAATGTTCATGGACTGACTAAACAGAGAACAAAAGGTGGAGGTATGCAGGGAAGGGGGAGGGAGAGCTGAAGCTGACAGTAGGGAAGAGAGATAAGAGGCTGAGAGCTAGATCTGGAAAAGCCGCCCAACAGAAGCAGGAAAGTGTGGGAGACAGAAAACTCGACCATCAGCGAAATCTAAGATCCCAGAATTGCATTGGTCAGCGAGAGAGGAAGGAGGTAGTAGGGGGAAAGAAGGGAGGGAAAGCCACGCAAGGAATAAAGGAGGCTGGAAAGAATTGAGGTCAGGTAAGAAGCTCCAGCAATAGTAGAGATCTGGAACTATTACAAGTTTGTGGCAGAAAAATGGAAAGAAAGCCCAGTGCTCTGTATTGTAATGGGAGCAAAGGCCCCTTTCTCCCAGAATCCATGATCAGTAACAGGAAAGGTTTCCCTGCGTCCTGGGCAGCTTATGGGTTTGTGGGAGATACACATGGATATTGGATACCTATGCCACAATGACTGATTGGGGGCTGAGCACCTCCAGGGCTCCCCTACACAAACTGGGGTGGAGAGGTATAGATCTCTCTCTGACCAGGCTCTGGAATTCAGCCAGAACCACAGAAACCTCAAGATCCTTCTCTTTAGATATGCAACACCCAAGTCTGGTTCTTCCCATGTCAGCCTTCCCAGTGGGGGTAGCCTCTTGGGCCATCTATCTGAAGTTTAGGAAAAGTGACACCAGTTGCTTGCCAAGAAATGGACCTCAGCCAGAAAGCCTTTTTCATCAGAACATTTATTAAATGAGTAACTACATGCAGTCTGAGCTGTGTATAGGCCGTTAAAGGCCTGAGTGCCGAGCTAAAACCAGGAGAGCTGCTGCCCCATTTTCATGTACGGAGAGCAGCTGCTGTTCTCAGTTGGGCCAGTCCTCTGGCCTGCAAAGGCGAGCAAGGATCCCAGAGCAAGATTCCACTGAACTGGAATGGAGCCAGGGATGAGGGCACTAGGCCAGCTCCTCCAGGCAGTGATCTTACAGGCGGTTCTTCCCGGTGTCCACACTCTCGTGCTCTGAAGACAGATGGGGAATGTGAAGGCTCTCTCTTCTGGCTGGGATGAGGCATGTAGGTGATAGAGAAGAAAGCCAGAGAGAGGCCAGGAAAGGGAGACAGGAACTGCTTTTTATTGATTTGGTCGTGGGTTCTGCAGGAGAGCCCCTTTGGGTTTAAGAGCATTTTTCTGCTTCCTTTCTTCTTCCTGCAACTTCTCCTGCTGTCTGAGCTGCCATGCCTGTAATCCAGCATCCATTTCCTGTGACAGCAGTACAACTCGTCTCTGAAACAGACAGGAAAACAGGGTGGATAACATCTGGGGCTGGAGCTCTGCACCATATATCCTTTCACTCACAGATCAAAGCTGGAGGTTTCAGCTGGAAAATGACACTGCTGACTGGGGAAGGGGACTGGGTCCTGGAATGGGAAGCAGAGGAGGCAAAATGGGTAGCAGAACGGCTACTACTGGTTCCTGCCCTGGGAGTGCCCCACTCTCTTCCTCCCTTCTCCCAGCTGTTAAAACGCTGGTGAAGGGGCCACATGTGAGCTTAGGTGTCACACAGCTCAAGCCAAATTAAAATGTTCATTTTTTCCTTCCCAGTACACACAGGTTGCCCTGACTGGGCTCTAGCCACTCACTGCAAACTTCTCCCTTTGGGCTTTTCTTCGAAGTTGGCCTCTCATTGGAGGTGCAGGGCGGCCATCTGTAGATGGAAGTGAAGAAAAAGATAGGTATTAGAGATGGCTGGCAGCACCCTGTGAAGGCACTGGGATAGGAACAAGGGAAGAAACAGTCGCTAGTTCCTCTCTCCCATTTCATACCCGGGGTGGCTTCATTCTCCAAAAACCCGTCCCTCAGTGTCAAGGGTAAGGCATGCCAAGAATAAACTCTAAGGCATAGTCCTACTCTATTTCACTTACCCCTCATTATCCTGGAATGATCCTTTGTAGGGCTGAATCTCTTATCTCACACCCCTAAGTTTTTATTTGAGAGGGTGGGCAGGGGGAGGGGCAGATGGAGAGACTCTCAAGCAGACTCCCTGCTGAGTGCAGAGCCCGACCTGGGGCTCAGTCTGGGACTCAGTCTCAAGATCTCAACTGTGATCATGACCTAAGCCAAAATAAAGAGTCTGATGCTTAACCGACTGAGCCACCCAGGCACCCCTCTCCTGTTTTATCTTTAGAAACTCCCTACTCAGGCAATCTGATCACTGTTCTACTCATCGTGAGTCTTTGCTAAATTCCATCTCACTCCTCAATGAAATGCTCTCTTTTCCTTTCCTTTCAGCCCAGTTCTCATACTTAGGCCCCCCTAAAACCCTATCTGCCCAGAAATCCTCCTCAGACCTCTTTAACTCTGTGAGCTCTCTCCTGAAAGAAGTGCCTGTCAGGGTGCCTAGGTGGCTCAGTTGATTAAGTATCTGCCTTTGGCTTCGGTCATAATCCTGGAGTCCCTGGATGGAACTCACCTCATCAGCCTCCCTGCTCAGCAGGAAGTCTGCTTTACCCTCTCCCTCTGCCCCTCCCCCTGCCTGTGGTCTTTCTGGCTCGCTCCCTCTTTCTCTTAAATAAATACATAAAACCTTTTTATTTTTTATTTTTTAAAGATTTTATTTATTTATTTGACAGAGAGAGATCGCAGGTAGGCAGAGAGAGAGAGGAGGAAGCAGGCTCCCTGCAGAGCAGAGAGCCAGATGCCCCCATAAAACCTTTTTAAAAAGTGCCTACCAGTGGGGCACCTGGGTGGCTCAATGGGTTAAAGCCTCTGTCTTCGGCTCAGGTCATGATCCCAGGGTTCTGGGATCGAGCCCTGCATCGGGCTCCCTGATCAGCGGGAAGCCTGCTTTCCCCTCTCTCTCTCTGCCTGCCTCTCTGCCTACTTGTGATCTCTGTCAAATAAATCTTTAAAAAAAAAAAAAAAAAAGTGCCTACCAGTGATTTAATATTCATCTAGTTGCCTTGGGACATTTATTGTACCTTTTTTTTCCCCCTTATTTGGCTATCTCAAATTCTTTTGGAAAGGTGTGGAACACTAGAGTATTATTATTTTTTAAGATTTTATTCATTTGACAGAGAGACAGCATCAGTGGGGGGGAGGGGCAGAGGGAGAAGCTGACTTCCCACTGAACAGGGAGCCCAATATGGGACTCAATTCCAGGACCCTGACACATGACCTGAGCCAAAGGCAGACGCTTAACTGACTGAGCCACCAAGGCACCCCCATTATTTTCTAAAACGTCCATGCTGTTTTCCCAGCTAGACTTTTACAGATTATGTCCCTAGGTTTCACTGTAGTATAGTGCAGACATACAAGCATATCACACAAATTCTACAAATATCTGCTAACTTGGTGAAAAACATAGTATCTGACCTTAAGTTGTTTATAATGAAGAAGAAAAAAAAGGACACTTACTTTCTACAAAGTAAGAAACAGTGAAAACTCTGCCCAAAAGTTTTGTGGAAACAGAGAGGTACAATTAAGTAACATGTCCAAGACCACAGTATCAGCAAGTAGAGAAATCTTAAATAAGAATCAATTCAAGTCTTTCCAATATTCCATACTACTTTTAGGAGACGCTGGGTTTCCTGCAGTAAGTAGCAAGGGGAAAAAATCTTTACCATCCTTCTTGGGATCATACTCCTAAAGAACCCAATAGGGTATGAGTATCCAGGTCTCTGTGCTGTGGAAGAGGGCCTCGCCCCTACCCCGTTCTAGTCCTTCCTTTGCGATCACACACACCTAGGTGTGTGATCACAGGAACTCTAAGGCCTCAATTTTCCCACCTGTAAACTGGAGTCCCATATTGGGTGTGGGGAGTGGCTTCAACTTTTCTAAGATCCATCCCTCTCTTCTAGGAGTAATAGCTATATTTTCTTTCTTTCCTTTTCCTTCCCCTCCCTCCGCCCCAAGTAAAGAGAAGAAACTTCTGAAGGGTGCTCTTCATTCTCAATTCTCACCCTTCTAACCCCTCTCTCTGCGATGTTCATTTAGGCAAGTTTTCAAAGAGCTCACCTTGCATTTGGTACCAAATTTTCAACAATGTACTCACCACACTGAATATTGAGTCTTTCTAACTTTTTAAAAACCATTCCACCACGAGAAATATAAAAATCTTATCACTCCCTCCACCGGGGCGTCCCAAATTAGAATTATCTTCTGCTCATCCTCACAAGATCCTGAGCTAGCTTTACTTTCCATAGGTGTAGTTTAATTTACAAAACAAACAACTGGGCTCCTTCCCCCGAACTCCAAATATAAAGTTCAGGACAGGGGGGCCTGGGTGGCTCAGTCCTTAAACATCTGCCTTGGGCTCAGGTCATGATCCAGACTCCTGAGATTGAGCCCCGCATGAGGTTCCCTGCTCTTTGGGGACCCTGCTTCTCCCTCTCCAACTCCCCCTGCTTGTGTTCCTTCTCTCTCTCTCTCTGTCAAATAAACTGAAAAAAAAATTTTTTTTAAATAATAAAAATTTAAAAAACCCCAAAGTTCAGTACGTTGGCCCCCCAAACACATGCCCACCTCGCCCCCCTCCCCCCCCCCCCCCCCCACCCCGGCCTCGCTCCGTCTATGGGCATCTCCTCTGGGAGAAACTGAGTTAACTGTCAGGTCAGCGCTCACCCGCGTAAGACCAGTCTGGGAGCTCCGTAAGGGGCCCGTAGCCGGAGGGGTTGGCAGCCAGGCCCTGCCTGGGTGGAGAAAAATAGTCGGGTGAGGATTCGGCCCACCTTCCGGCTTCGCAGTACCCCGCGCCCGAGTAGCCCCCCAGACCCGCACTAGACCGGCACTCACTGGAGTCGCCACTGGCTACCGGCCTGAGCCGCCACACTGCTGTGCAGCCTCCGGACACCTGCAGGAAAAACAGAGCAGAATTGGAGCAGAGGCCATGGAGTCATTTCAGGGGTCCTAGACCTGCCCCAGCGGGCTCCCGAGCCCACCGACCCCACACCCACTTACTCAACATCAGAGAACCTAAAGCAGCCATACTGGAGGCCGCGGTGTCGGAAGTAGGCGTGGCCTCGGTGGCTACGCGCGACGCTGCAGGGGAAGTCGGAAGCCGCCATCTTGAATCTGGGATTCAATCACGGGCCCCGCCATCTTGGGGCACTGTACGGAAAAGAGGACAGAACTGCTACCGGGGTTTTGCGGGGCAGAGTGATTGGTCTGCGTGTGAATCGCCAGTAATGATTACATCCTGTGTGGAAGTCGTGTCCTGGACTGAACCATTTGGAACTGCTCCAGCCACCTTTGCGCAGCGATGTCTAGTCCTTCGGAATATATGTCTTTGTCTTAGAGGAGTATTTACCTCATTCTGCCTTCTTCCTCATCACTGTAACGTTTTTCTGAGCCTAAGAGTCAAATCTAGAATGAATAAGAAAATCTGGGCTTCAGTCCTTATTTATTCAACAAAATTGAAGAGCTTATATGTGACAAGCATTTTATTAGGTGCAGGGGATTCTATGGAGAGCAAAACAGATGTCATCACTATTCTGATAAGAGCTCCGGGTCTAGAGAGAGAAGACAAAAATAATCACACACATTACTGTAATAGTACCGCTGAGATTGTAGAGGGTGCACAGGGGTGCAAGAGCACCTGGCCGCAGGGATCCCAAACAGACTAGGTTCAGCCACTTGCCACTGACAAAATCCAAAGGCTGAAAAACTAATGGTGAAATAAGAAAGGAATTCATTTCAGTGTGAGGCCAACACTGGGAAGACAGCAAACTAGTGTCTCAGAGACTGTCTCCAAAGTGCCAAAAATACTTTGGGATTTATATAAGGAAGATGAGGGGCAAAGGTGGGTGAATAGATGCAGGTGGGCAGTGAAGGTCAAATAAATTCTTGTCTTAGAGTCATTCACAAGTGGGATCTTGCTGGCTCAGGACAGTCCTTATTTCTTGAGGGGTCATTTCCTTCCCCTAATAGGTGGCTTTGCCCTCAGGGTCTTCCATCTGAGCCCAGAGTGGAGCTGGAAAGAAGAACCCAACTAGGAAGTCTGAGGCCAAAATGGGAGGAGTCATCCTCTTTCAGGATGAGTGTTGGGAAGGAAAGTACTCCTTTGTAGCTATAATGGAAACTTGATCTGGAGAAGGCCATTAAAGAAGGCTTTCTTGAGGAAGAGGTCTTGAAGCCAAGATCTGATTTTATCTTTGTAAGGGCTAACACCACATATTATCTAGAATAATCCGTGCAGGGCACCTGGGTGGCTCAGTGGGATAAGCCTCAGATCATGACCCCAGGCTCCTGGGATGGAGTCCTGCATCGGGTTCTTTGCTCATCAGGGAGCCTGCTTCCTCCTTTCTCTGCCTGCCTCTCTGCCTACTTGGGACCTTGTCTGTCAAATGAATAAATAAAATTAAAAAAAGAAATTGAATAATCCGTGCAGCCACCTGTGAGGCAGGTAGAGAAGTTCCCCCCTTAACCATGGTTTGGCTTTCCACGGGTTTAGTTATCCACATTCAATTGCCCTGTGGAAGCAGATGATTTTTTTTTTTTAAGATTTTATTTATTTATTTGACAGAGAGAGATCACAAGTAGGCAGAGAGGCAGGCAGAGAGAGAGGGGGAAGCAGGCTCCCTGCTGAGCTGAGAGCCCATAGCAGGACTCCATCCCAGGAGCCTGGGATCATGACCTGAGCGGAAGGCAGAGGCTTAACCCACTGAGCCACCCAGGTGCCCCAGTCTTTCTGACAAATCATGGGAAGGCCAATAGTAGTCTAACGCTAAGTTCCAATGCCTAAATCATTCACTTCTCTTCATCTTATCATCTACAAAAGAAAGATGAATACAGTCCAATAAGATATATTTTTAAAGATTTATTTATTTATTTATTTGAGAGAGAGAGAAAAAGCACAAGTGTGAGGGGCAGAGGGAGGAGGAGAGATAACCCCAAACAGACTCTGTGCTGAGCACAGAGCTAGACACTGGTCTCATTCTTACCACCCTAAGATCAGGACCTGAGTAGAAACCAAAAGTAGGATGCTTAACTGACTATACCACCCAGGTGTCCCAGTACAATATTTTGAGAGAGAACACATTCACATAACTTTTAGTACAGTATATTGTTTTAATTTTTAATTATTGTTGTTAATCTCCTACTGTGCCTAATTGATAAATTAAACTTTATCATAGGTATGTCTGTATAGGAAAAAAACACCCATAATATATATGGAGTTTGGTACTATCCACGATTTCAGACATCCCCTGGGGTTCTTGGAAAGTATCCTCTGTGGGTAAGGTGGGACTATGCTGTATTAGTACATAGTAAACCCAGATCTATGATTCCTTCCCTCTTTTTAAATCATTATTTGTCTTGGGGAATTCGTTTATTCTTAATTTCTTCATTAAAAAACCCTTAACATATCACATTTCTGAAAACATTAAAAATGATAATGTAAGAGCAAATGCTTTATAAATGATGAAGCTCTTACAGAAGTGCCCATTACTTTATGCTAGGCTAGCCACTTAACACGGGGGGCTGGAGGGAAACTGAGGGAGTGGTGCAATGGCCTATCTGGAAGTTTATCATTTCCTTCTGCAGGACTGGGAAGTTTTTCCACAGGAGGTGGCTTGGAGCTGTGCTTTGAAAGAGGGGAAGGGTGGATCCTGGTTTAAGAAGTAAAAACAGCTGTTTCAGTAACAATAATGGTATAGGCTGGGGCTGAACAGAAGAAAGGATGGGAACAAAAGAACCTTGGCTCTAAGCCAACAGATGGATCCCCAAAACGAAGCAAGGGCAGTAGGACAATAAAGAACTATCAAAGAACTATCACCGTCTTACCTTCATACACTTCATTTTCACTTATGGAAACACTTCTATATAAATGATTTCACATGATTTTCATAAAAACCTGTAAAGTAGATTAGACAGTCCAGGAAGCAATAGCTGTACAGATTGCTTGTAGTTTTCAGAGATCAGGAAATTTAATCAAAACGTGGCTGTGGATTTATTGTTTTAGAGTTGCAATCATGATTGAAGGCCACTTTCCCGGGCCTGGCTTCATATACCTTTGGCTGGTTCTGAGATACATGGCTGAGGTAGACAGCACCTGGAATCCCATTCCATAGTTTACAGTTGGCAAGTCAAACAGTAGAAGGTAAGGGCCGGAAAAATAACCTTAGTGTCAACATTCAAGATTGATAGGAAAGATGACAAGCTAGACTACCACCAACACGATAGAAAGTAATCGAAGCAGCAATACTCCTACCTTCCAGAAGCTCACACACTAGGGGGACGCTGAATTATAAAAGAGGGCACACACAATAAGGTGAACAAATACCGTGAACCATGTAAGTTCTGAAGGCAGGAATGAATGCATGTGATAGTTTAATAGCTGTGGGAGTCAAGGAGTCAGAGCTGGAGAACTTTGGGGGCAGGATGGGAAGTTTAATTGGGAAAACTGAGAAATCTGGGAGGGGGAAGGTCTTTGGAAGGAAGACAAGTTCAGCCTTTGACGTGGTTGGTGTGATGTGGACAGCCCGTGGGTTGTAAATAGCAGGAAATATGGGTGAGGATTTTGAGAGTGAGAGAGAAAGAACATTAGTGCTGACAGCTAACATCAGCAGCATTCTCAGCGACCTCATGGAACACTGTGGCAGGGGTGGGAGGTCTGGCAAGTGGACAGCACTCCTTAATGACTTCACTAGACTCAAGCCACAGGAAAGCAGCTTTCTCACCCCAAACTAGAGGTCTTTTAGCCTCTTGACTTCATCTGGGAAAGCCTGGCGTTAAGAGCAATGAGAAGCATTAGGAATCTGAGCTTCATGTCTTTCCTCTCTAAACTCCTTTGCCTCTCAAGGGCGTCACAACCTGTATTTGGTTTTAATACTTCGTTGTCCACTAACTTTTGTTCAAGGGCACTGCTCTGAGAATTAGGCGCTTTTAATTTTTAATTTTTATTTATTTATTTTTTAAAAAGATTTTATTTATTTATTTATTTGACAGAGAGAGAGAGAGGGAGGGAGACAGTGAGAGAGGTAACACAAGCAGGGGGAGTGGGAGAGAGAGAAGCAGGCTTCCTGAGGAGCAGGGAGCTTGATGTGAGGCTCCATCCCAGGACCCTGGGATCATGACCTGAGCCGAAGGCAGAGGCTTTAACCCACTGAGCCACCCAGGTGCCCCTAAAAAAATTTTGAATCACGTAATCTCTGTGCCCAACGTGGGAGTCAAACTCAGGACCCTGAGATCAAGATCAAGAGTCACTGACTAAGCCAGCCAGGTGTCCCTGGGAAATTAGGTGCTTTTTTAAATTGTTGAGATGAATAATAATGGCATTGGAGAAAATGTCAGTGAAGCTGACTCAGGGTGGCCAATTCCATGTCATTTTGTAACTTGTTCTCCTTTTTGCATGCTTCTCACCAAAGTGAAGTTTCGAGAAGAACAAACTATTTGGGAAGTGGCTTATTTTACATTCCTTCATTATTTTCCTCCTTAGGACAGCTCAACAATTAAATCACTGTCACCCCATGCAGGAAGTGTGGGAGCTAAAGGCTAGCCCTCATACAATACATTTCTTTGCTTATTATTTCCTTATCACATAATTTATTGGTAACATATTCCCTTTCTTTTCCCATGGCTGCTAAATCAGTTCTGGCTAAATTTTGTGTTAAATCATCCAGCTTCAAGATGGGTAAATTATGACTTCGGACTGCACTCTTTTTTTCTTGCCTGGCAACTGGGAAGTCTCTCAGCTGTGTGCCTTTCCACCACGCTGGGCTTTCAGGAGGGTGGCTCTTTGTAAATCTCTGCAGAGTGACAATGCTGGCTTTAAAAATGCTGGAGTTTGACCGGAAGGTGTAAAAAAAAAAAAAATCACAGTATTTACAAGTCATCTTTTAGCCTTAAAACATGGTGAAAGGGGGCGCATGGGTGGCTCAGTGTGTTAGGCCTCTTCCTTTGGCTCAGGTCATGATCTCAGGGTCCTGGGATCTTGCCCCACATCAGGCTCTCTGCTCAGCAGGGAGCCTGCTTACCACCCCCACCTTCTCTGCCTACTTGTGGTCTCTCTCTCTCTGTCAAATAAATAAAATCTTAACCAAAACAAAACAAAACAAAACAAAACATGGTGAAAGGAGTGTTTCCAGATCCCTTTCCTTGAATCAGCCCAGCAACAACCTCTTTTGTTGTGTCCACGCTGTCAGTAGGACTCTTTAGACGGAAAGATACTTTGGGGACTCCAACCATTTCTCTGGCACCCTAAGACAGGATATTTTTGGTTAAGTGCTGCCTCCTGGCGGCGGCTCTACTGCCGACACACCTTCCCGGCCTGGTGGAGACCACTTGCTATCTATCTATCTATCTATCCATCTATTTATCTATTTATTTATTTATTTATTTATTTA